GGGTCCATCCCGATCAGCTCCCGCACGAAGGCGCTGTCGCTGCTGCGCAGCAGGGCCACGATGTCAGGCCTCATGTAATCCATGTTCTTCTCCCTGAAATCCTGAAAAACACCCACATGGAACCACAACAGCTCCCAGAAGCTCCCTGGTTTGACTGTTATTCTGTTTATTCAGAATAACAGTCAGTGTTACCATCCACTCACCACCACCATCCCCCAAAAACAAACCCAAAGTACCTCTAAGAACCCTTCTGATCCAGCCCATTCCCAAATTTTCTACATCCTGACAAAAAACTCCCAGAAAGACAAGGAATTTCCGTGCCCATCAGATCCACCACGTACTTTGATCTGGTATTTCACTTTGCCAGCAAAGTGGCGAATGATAAAAGCAGGCTCCATCACTGGGGTTCCAACAAAGAACTTGTTCTCCTCGTGCTGCTGTTTGAATTTTGCCAGCAGAGTTTGGTTGGTGGCATGTGGAAAACTGGGAATACAAGACAAAAGAGGTCAGCTATTTCTCAAATACAGGTATTTTTATTAGAATGAACATCTATTGTTGCTTGTGGAAAGTATTAATTGTCCAAGATCTCTCCACCTGCTTTGAATTTTAAAGGTGGGCTCAGTTTCTGGACCCAAACCAAGCAGCTCCATACACAGAATATTCTGAGGTTTCAAGTGTAATTCAGTGTTTCCTCCCACTTCACCAGCCAAATTTAGTTTGCACCACATTAACTATTTACCACACTTGCTACTTAATGCTCCAAAGACTTACAGCCATGCATTTTACTGTAACTGCAGTTCCATGGTAAACCACAAACATGGAAGCTCCTAAGTTTGCATAAGCCAAAGTTCAGTTTTAGCATCAATGTATTTCACCACCATACTGGAGTCATTAGAAGCAAACTCCAGAGTAAATCAGAGTCATAAATAACCCTTTGCTTCCCACAATGTATTTTGTCCTTTCAAAGTCCTTCCCTCCTCCCTGCCACATGTTTTTGCAGATGTTTGTTCCTTACTTGCTTTCTTCATCCAGAAGATAGAAGAGACCAGTGGGCTTCTTGCTGATTAAGTGAATGCAGGCCACGTTATCAGTATAGTCAATATTGTGCCAAGTGATCCCTTCACTCTTATATTCCTCCTGTGTGGCTCAAGAAAATTCCTTTGTCAGTACAGTGCCCTGACCTTTGATGTCCTGTGGTTTAAGTGCTTCAAACACAGCCTTGGACAGGCACAGCCAGTGGAGTTTGTTAGTTCAGGCAGCAGAGACAAAAATAAGGAGAATTTATAAATAAGAACAGAGGAACAGGCACAGTGGCACAGATCAAAGGTCCTCAGGCACGTCACCCAGCAGGGTCTGCTTGGGGTGAAACTATTTCAAAACCAAAGCTGTGAAAGGAATGTTGTGCTGTGCTCTGCCTTCCCAGCAACCAGCCCAGGAGCCTGGAGTCAGACATTACATCCCCAGCACTCCAGCAAAACTGGGCACACACAGAGGAGGAGCTTGAGTTTATTTGCTCTTCCATGGTTTTTGTAATATGGGAAATGAGAGTAGTTAAATATCAAGTTCCAGAATTTTCATATTGCACACTCAGAGAAAATAACAAGAAGTTTCAAAACAGGCAGTGAAGGCCTGCAGAACATCAGCACCAGAACTTCCCTCAGGAAGCAATGGATGTTGCTGAGGCTCAGAGCATTTGGAGCTCCCTGACAAGAGAACATGAAGCTCTCCTGCTGAAATGACAATCCCTCAAATGCTTGACAAGACAATCTTCCCACTAAGATACAAAAGCAAAATATCAGATTTTCTTGATGCTGCAAATACCCACAGGAAAAAGCTAATGATAAGGTAATAAAGTAAAAAAAAATGATAAAGTTAAAATAAGAATCACACAGAAAATTAAGGAAGTTTTATGTTTAACAAAGGACAAAGAGCACCTCTCATGGTCTGGATGATGATGATGATGATGATAAATGCATTATTTTTAAGTAGGTGGAATTCAGTCTGCCCAGCACAGTGCACACCGTGTTACAGAACTGAAATGCTATTTTGCACAGACAAAAAAGCCTTTCTTTAAAAAGATATAGAGATCTCCCTGAGGGCCCTCAGGCTGCAAGAGATACAGGAAATGGGTCATTCAAGGATTAAGCTTATTTGGAAAAATGGCATTAGAAAAAAAAAAAAAGAAGACAATGTAACTATTTACTCTGGGCAGCCTGGATAACCAATTCTGTCCTAAGTTACAAAACAGGGACCTCAACATCATGTTTACACACAGAGTTTGGATGTTAGGTAATTTTATTTTCTTTAAAATGCTCGCCTAAAGTTGTTGACAAAGTACCACATACTAGAGAATGAGTCCTTTCAGCAGTGACCTGAGAACCTCACTTCTGCACAAAGCAGAAATAAAACAAATCTGGAGCAAGAAAAATCCTCCAAAACCCAGTCCAGGACAGGATCTGCTGTCAGGTGACAGCACCTGCAAACCAGTCAATCCCCACAGGCCAGGGGTTCAGCCAGGATCACAGCTGGGCCCCCTAAATGCACTTGGGTGGGAGAAGCAGCAAAAACTGGTTATTAAACACTTCCAGACTGCTAAAAATAAGAGAAGCTGTTTCCCAACCATTGAAACAAAAACACCCAAATCCAACCCCTCACCTACAGACTTCCAGTACCAAAGTTCACAGTTTTAGCTGAATTCTCTCTGGGATCACCTGGATGTTATCTTTAGTTTTTGCAGTCAAGCAGAAACTTGGTGCCAGCCCTCTGAAGAAAGACCCCATTAGTACAAGAACAAGCAGCAGTGAAAGAAGAAATTTTAAAAATAAAGACTTTCAGAAATATTCAAGCAATTGCAGAGTAAAGGCTAAGTTTGCATAATACACAAACACTTGATAAAAAGAGGTTTCACTTCAGCCACTCTTATTTCTTACCTGCTCCAATTTGAAAATGTGCTGATTGAAATAATACTGAAGTTGCTCATTTGCATAATTTATGCAGAACTGCTCAAAACTGTTGGTTTCAAAATCTTCAAATCCAAAAATATCAAGTACACCAATGGACAGACACTAAAAGGAGATGTGGAAATCTAGTTATCAATCTGTCATCCAGTGCTTTAACCCCCAACAGATAAACAGCCCAGAAAGCACTGCAGTCTGCGCTGAAAAATGTTAAATATTTAATAGTTCTGTGTACTCTGAAAACAGAGATGATTAAATATTACCAGGAAATTTACCATGAGCTTGAGAAGTATTAAAATTGATCCCAGATATCACAATATATCATGTCTAGGATGGACTGTTAGGTGCCTGCAAGGCTTGGTTTGTGAGGGACTTACTGTAACAGATTCCTCCATGTCCCTCTTGTTGAGGAGTGCATGATTGATCCTCAGAACAATCCAGTCAAACAGAGCACTGTACAGGGACTTGGCCATGGAATCTCGAGCTGTTATTGCCTGCAGATCAAACAATTTTCAGGACTTTTTTTAAAAAAATAATCATTTCTGTTTCAAACCAGTGTCACTCACAGGTTACAACCCCAGCAGAGATCAATAAACCACAATTTGCCTTTAATTCAAACTTTCCAACCATCCCTCACAAAAAATTAAAAAAAATTAGAGTGTACCATAATAGCTTTTTTAATCCAAAAAAGCAAATTTCAGTTATTTAAAATCACTCCACAAGTGCTTTTATACTCACCTCATTGAGACTATATGGCAAAATAAGCTTATCATTAGCAGTCACAGTTTTTCTTTTTGTTAGCACTTCTACCAGGATTTCACGTTTAACCTTCAAAACAAGAGAACAAAGCTGCTGTCACCATCCTGAGGGAGTTACCTGACTGCAGCAGTGGACATGCAACTTCTCCAGAGAAGCTCTTTGACACAGCCACATTTATCACCCATCAGCAGCTTTACAAGTCCTACAACTTGTTTAAATTATCCTGTTTACATTCACTCATTCAGATGTTTCCCTGTGGTGGCAAAGAACTCACCCACACTGAATCTGTTCCTGCTCACCTCTGATTGGTGAGTCAACAGATTCCATTT